AGAAGGAAACTGTTTCCTGTACACATTATATACATATATAAGACTTTTAATTATTTATTTCCCACATTGAAAAAACCTATGGATCCATAAAAATCCATAACTCCTTTGAAAAATTTGAAAAATAAACAATTGAGAACACAAATTGTTCTTGTGTTTAATAACAGAAAAGTGTGTTATTGGATTTATCATTTTGTACATTTGATGGAATCACAAAGTTTTTGTAATGTGGAATTTAATACAGAAAATCTATGTTAATTATTGAAAGAATGAATTAACAAAAAGAGAACAATAGGCAACAATTATATGTACTTTATTTTAGCCTTCATGTTTTTTGGCATGAATTTTATTACATTTTTTTAAATATTAAACTTCTATAACAAAATTAGTCATATATAATTACCTGCTCAATAATAAACTTTTTAATGAACCAATCTCAGATTAATATCTATTATCTGTTGATTAAAGGTATAGTTATCTGGTTGGCTAATTTTCGATACATCTAATTTAATTTGTGATACGTTTTCTTTCATTTCTTTTATATTATTATGCACAACTTCTGCCAGTTCATTAATATTTTCTTCCACAGTTTTACGCTTTTTGGGACTTTTTACAAATAAGTATGGCTCAATAAACCTCTAAAAAGAAATTTAAATATCAAGATTGTTTAGTAAAATATGCATTGTTTTTCGATAATACTTTATTTGAGTATTAGGAGAAAATTATTCATATTATCACATATTTTTAATAAATAATAAAGTTGAAATTTTTAAATTATAGATTTTTTATTATTTGTAACAGAAATTGATTTAATAAAGTTGTTTCTTAAAATCTATTTAATACCTTATAAAGCATGTAAATTGCATATGCTAAACTACCAAACAAAGCCAGGCTGCCTAAATATCTCTAATTTTTGACAACCTTGATTGTCCTGCTGAAATTGTAGTAATGGTGATGGATTTGGTGGAATTGTTGGTAATATATTAAAAGCTCCAGCTCTTTCACAAGCAGCTTGGATTTCATCTTCTGAAAGACCTTTAGACCTCAGAAATTGCTGTTCTGGGTTATGGCACTTCTTTGAACATTAGGGTTTTGTAAAAATTTTACTGCTGTTTGGACCTTATAATTATAAAAATTAAATAAAATTTTGATAAATAAAAATTAGTTGATCTAAAACAAATATTTACAATATCTTCTCTTATTTCTGTGACCGTTACTTCTTTTTGCTCTTCTTGTGTCATTTTAATAAAATCATCTGATGTTTTCCTGATTTAACAATTAGTACTGATTGTTACACATATATCATTAATAAGTGTTTGTTTTATGAAATTAAGACATATATTTTAAAAACGACATTTATTACTCTAAACGCTACAGCTCTAAACGCTGACAACTTTTCTGACATATCTCTGCTGTCAATCTGTAAGGGCAAGGTTCAAGTGTTCAAGTGGTAGTGCAATAACATATTCCTTAAACGTAAAAATAGTTGTTATACTGAGTGAGAACAGTGTTAAATTTTGTTACTTACATTTATATTAATTTAGTTATATATTTAAAATAGTTTTTTTTTAAACAAAAGTTGTAAATACAATATTATATTTTTCGGTTTATACAAAAAAATGCATAAACTGCTGAAAGTGAAACCCTATTTATAAAAGATTCATTTTGATTATTTTTTGCAAAAATTGTATGGTCTCGAATTTTCCTTTATCGCAACACTTTCTTATGGCAAATGGAAATACCTGAGAAACCAGAGCCTTCAGACTGCTGCAATTCAGGATGCAATCCATGCATTCTTGACATTTATGAAAGGAAATTGAATGAATATAACGCGCGTAAAACTAAAATAAATGCAAATCCGATACTGAACAATAATATTTTGAAATTAACAGCATATACAACATTTAAATTAATATCAGCGGAGCCTATAACATCTTGTGTAAATTTGTATACTTTTGAGCATCCTGATCCGAATGCTAATGATGTGATAAAATTTATTCCAGGACAGTACTTTATCTTGAAAGGAAATTTCGATAATGGCTGAAGCAATTAAGTTAAGCAGACCTTATACACCACTAATTTGCACTTATAACAATTTAAAACTTATACGAAATGCTCAAGCAGCTAATGAATTATTTTTTCAAATTGCAGTCAAAATGCTGCCTGATGGAGAGATGAGCCAATATCTCAAATCTTTGAAGTTAGGAGACATTACATTATGGCGTGGTCCATATGGGGATTTTAATTACAAAAACTAAAACTACAATATAAATTTTCTACTTTAGTTTGCTTTACCCAAGGTATAGGTATTGCTCCAATATTTTGCATTATAGATAGCATATTAGCAGATGAAATAGATGAAACAATCATATCTCTAAATTGCTGTTTTAGAGATATTGAATCAATAATATTTAGAAAGGAAATTCAAGATTTCAATCAATTTTGGAATTTTAAGAGCAGCATATTTTTAGCTTCGCAAGAGAAATGTGATTGTATTGATATATGCAAATGTACTTATTATAGTGAGACAATATATAAACGCAGAATGCAAACTCATGACATTGAAAATATTCTAAAAGACAAAAACTTATCTGAGTGTTATTTTTTAATTTGTGGAAATCAAACATACTGTGAAATTATAGAAAGTACTTTATTAAATTCACAAATAATTAAACATAAAATACATGTATTTTAATCATTTCTCAACTAGTGGACAAGAGATAATCTGAAATAAACAAAAAAATTATAATATGAAAATCAGCTTTGATTATTTTAAATGTAATTTATAATATTATATTCCATTTTAACCTTTTCACAATTCGGGCAAACTCCTTGTATGACTTCTGATGTTGTTATTCGATTAGCCATAGGTCTCAACCAGTCATAAAGGCATGAGGCATGAAAATAGCTACTGCATTTATTATTCTCACAAATAACCATGGCTAATTTAGAATTATCTAATTCGAAAAAACATATGCAACATTCCCCATCACTTATTAATACTAAATCATTTGTTGGTTGATTTAAGGATTCAGCAACACTTTTTCTGCTTGGAAAATACATTAAATCTATAATACAAATAAGATCTTTAAGTGATTCCACTTTTTAACCATGTAATAAATGTGTATCTAATAGATAATACGTTTTGAAAATAATTCAAATAGTTTTGCATAGACCTTCGAGACTTTTCATAATAATTTCTTTTACAAAAAAAAGTTATATTCTGAACAAAAGCACATATAGCTACTACTTAGCTATGACTAGTAGTAGTAAATGGGTTAAACTCTGAAGCATTCATCGTCACAGCATGTTTTCTACATGCTGTCCCACCATGAAAATAATGCAAATGGGGTAAGTGAAATATGCATTTCAATAAACCATGCGCTTTGTTAAAGTAGTTTTACACAAAATATTAAAAATACTAAGTTTAAAAATAAGAGTTCATATTAAACAATCTTTTTTCTCTGCTTTGTGTGTTTAAATTAGACAGAAATTAAGTTCTTCAGAATCATTAGTGTTCTGAAGTTGATATTTTTTTAAATTACCTAAGATGGTTAGCAAATTGCGAAATAAATTTACTTCATTTTTCCAATTTTTTAAATTACGGGTAATAGTATTTGAAAACTTGTCTACTTGTTCATTAGGTCCAATAAATGTTAGTTTTGGTATTCCCCCATAAGACCAAGGAGATAATTGTACATATAGTGATACATTATCATCTGCAAATATTAAAAGAAATTATAATTCAGAAATGTTTCTCATAATATATATATATATATATATATATGCAGGATTCTGTATTTATCAGCTCCTTTTTTTTCAGATTAATTACTAAATTTTACTATTACTTGATATTTTTATAAGTTATTATTGACCAATTATTTGGAATTTAAATTCATTTACCCAATAATATTTGTCTATGAGTATCTCTTGTTGATGGTTGTGAAGGATCAATAATATAGCATACTAAGTCTATTTCGTCTAAGTCAGCATAGAATCTTTCCAATACTTTCAAATTATGAATAAATATTTTAAACAAAACACATAAAGATCCATCAGTTTTGATTTCTTTGCAAACTTCATTCTTTACAAAATCTGGTAAACTGTGCTGTTTAAGGACATAAGCTTGTCCCCCTCTTTCAATTAATAAATAATGATTATCATGTCTAATAAGAACTTCATTCATTTGAGAATTAATCTGAATGTTTACATCATAATTTCGAATCAAAATTTCACACTCTCTTATAAAATCTAAATTGATGCCAATATTATCCTGCTGGCATTTTGGCAATATTGGTGTCAATTTTCTTTCCAATTGCAGCAAAAATTCATATAAACTTTTAGAATTATTGAACTTATAACTTTCTATATTTTGCAAAACATTTTGATTATATACTTCTAATGAGATATTATCCAAATTTGGATAATTAGGTACGTTTAAATCAACAAAAAATTCTTCATCCTAAAATAACAAGCATGAATATAAGATCAATAATTATATTTATGGTTTTATGTAAACTTTTACATTAGTGATAATAAATCCACCATATTTAGTACAACTTTTGTTTTTCGGTAATAAATATGGAAACCTCTGCAACAAACTTATTTGATCCATATTCTTTAGGTATGTGATTTAATTAATTTTAAGCGTTTTAAATTTTTTAGCATAACCAAGATTTATCTGCATCCATATAATTAGAAACATAAGCTTAATTGTTAAAATACGACATTTAAATCTGACTTTGTTTTCTTTTCATGTTTTTGACATACATACGCCTAAACTTCGCCAAATTTTATCATTCATGTTTCGTTCATTCAAAATTCGTACAAAGGTACCAACCGAAACAATTATTTTTAACCGAAGTTTAAAAAAGTTCTTTCGATAGAATATTATGTTATGAAAAATTAATAAAAATATCGGCAACGAAACTTGTAAGCTTGAATTCATAAATCATTAACTATTATGGTTTTATTCAATAATACTATTAACTTTTCAACTCGAGTTTTAGACTATTAATTTCATGCATTTCCATCCTTTTTAAATCATTAAACACTACTTATCAATATAATATAAGATTATCTAGTATATTTTTGTTATTATTGTATTATTATAAATACGATTCAATACGATCGTAATACCAAATTTAGTTTCAAATACCCGATTACTAAAATTCATTAATTTTCATTTCAAATTCTGCGCCATTAATTTGAATGCCAAAAGCAGCGCCCTCGCCTCTGAGCGGAGGAACCTTTAAGTATCCCTTCTAAACGTAAAAATCGGGAGAAAGAAACCGAGAAACGTCTTTGTCTTTTATAACCTCATATCTGACAATAGCCTAAAAACGTGCATGGTGTTTAGTGAAATTTTGCTTTGAAACAACATTTTATTTATTCACAAATATGCAGGATTTTAATAATTCGCAATAGTATTTGACTAAACTAAACATTTTCTGCAATGGAATTAAATATTGTAGCTATTCCTACTAACACACATAAAAAGTTCAATAAAAAGGTACAATATATTTCTTAAAAACACCATATATTCAATTAGTTATTTAGTATTATTAATTATTTTTTCAGCAGAAAAGTCTATTTAATAATAAAAGGAAGGTTCAAACTCGACCAAATGATTTTTCCTTTACATTCAATAAAACTGATAAGGTTAGTGCTACTGTGGCTGGTATTAAAAAACTAGGGCATGTAATTAAAACTAATAAAAAATCATTAATTACTAATGAAATACTAAACAATGAAGATATTAAACCCAGTAACAAATTGTCAAACATTCAGCACATTAAAAGTAATAAAAAAAAAATAAACAAATATTTACCATCAATTGAAAATGTATATAATAAAAAAAATCAAGAAACACTTTTGGATGAAAATCAAGAAAAAGTTTTCTCAAAAATACCAAAATCAATAGTCTCTAATCCACCAAAAACGGAATTGATCGTAAATAGCACATCGAATGAAACTGATCTCCAAAAAAGGTTTAAAGGACAATCTGATTATAAAGATAATAAAGGAAAATTCAGTAGTCAGCAATCTAAAATATCATCTTTGTTTGGAAATAACCCAGAAGTGCCTACAGTTGGTCAACGATTGATAAAGCCTATAACGGAAAATGTATTTTGTGGGAAACAAATTTCTTCACTCCCAATACACCCGCATTCCATAAAAAATATAAAAGACTTATTGGATATAACTGAATTGACAACAGTACAAGAAAAAACTATTCCTGTACTTTTGAATGGGCGGGATGCTTTGATAAGGTGATTATTTACATTGTTATATGATTGTTTGTTTGTGACTAAAGCTATTATGATTGAAAATACTATATTTGGATTGTAAAACAAAGCTAATAATAATTGTAATTGTTTTAACTCTACTTGCTATAATATGAATGGCTCCACAATCTATAAAAATTTAGTATTAATATCTTTTGATAGGATATCTTTCTATATCCGAATGGCAGCATACTTGTTTTCTAAGCTATTTAATACATGATTTGCTATTTTTGAAACTTTTATATAATATATTATTACTATATATAAATGCGTGTATATATATTAATTAATGAAAAATGTTTTGTTTTTAGAAAAAAATTTAATTATTGTTTGATTTATTTTAGGTCACAAACTGGTTCAGGTAAAACTTTATCATATAGTTTGCCTATAGTTGAAAGTCTACATAGTATCAGACCCAAAGTTACCCGTAATCAAGGTGTATTAGCCCTAATTATTGTGCCAACAAGAGAATTAGCCATTCAAACATATGAACTTTTTGTAAAATTAGTAAAGGTGAGAAATTTTTATCTTTAACACAATGCTATTGATTTGATATAAATTTATCATTTTACAGCCTTTTACATGGATTGTTCCTGGATATCTTATTGGTGGTGAAAAACGTAAATCTGAAAAAGCACGTCTACGAAAAGGAATAAATATATTAATAGGAACGCCTGGAAGACTTTGTGATCATTTATTACATTCTTCACATTTGAAATTGGATTCAGTAAAATGGTTAATTTTAGATGAAGCTGATAGGCTTCTCGAGTTGGGGTATGAAAGAGATGTGAAAGAAATTGTTCAGTCTTTATCAAATCAAAAAAGTACATCTTGGTATGATCCTTTAGCTCTTTTGAAGCAAGCTACTGAAAATAATGCCAAAAATAATAATGCAAAAAGTGTACATAAAGAATATGAAAACATTAGTGGTAATGATGACGAAATGCAAGAAATTGTAATTGATAGCAAAATGAGTGAAACGTTAAAAGTATCACATGACCTACAAAATATTGAAAATGAAGAATCCAGCAGCTCTGAAAGTAAAGAAGAGGAAACAATGAGTTCTAGTGAAAGTGATAATAGTAGTGATAATCAAAAAGAAGATAATTATAGCAAAAACAAACAAACTAAATTGAAGAAATACAAAGGCATTACCATGTTTCAGGGTATACAAGCAGTTTTTAGTGACAATAATTCTGCAAATGTTAATAATAATGAAACTTTGGTCAAAAAACCTAACATTTCAAAAGTTTCTACAGAAGAAACCTTAGCAAAATCAAAGAATTCACTTCAGACAGTTTTGCTGTCAGCGACTTTAACACCAGCAGTAGAAACATTAGCAGGATTAGCTTTGCAAGATCCAATATTTATTGAAACTAGTGAGGATAAAACTTTTGATGATGCAACTTCTGTTAAAACTACTTCAAATGAAGAAATCATGAGTATACCAGCATCGGTGGCACAAAGTTATGTTATTGTTCCTCCAAAATTGAGACTCGTCACACTTAGTGGAATTATAATGAATGAATGTCTAAGAACTCAAAACTCGAAGATTTTAGTTTTTGTCGCAACCCAAGATTTGGTTGATTATCACAGTAATTTGATGCAAAGAGTATTGAGTAAAAAAAATAGTGTAATTGATAGTGATGGTGATAGTGATAATGAATTGGATGTGAGTAATGTGATCACATTCTTCAAGTTGCACGGGTCTATGGGACAACAAGATAGAAATCGTGTAATCAAAGAATTTCGCATTGCAAAATCTGGAGTACTATTTTGTACTGTAAGTCTTCATTTAAACTTTGTCTGCAATAATTTACATAATATTTAATTAGAATATTGCATTTTTGTCTGGTTTTAGTTAAGTATTCTAGTAGTGATTTTTTTGTTTTATTAGCATGCTTCACCTGGTGTGTTTCTTTAACGTCTCTATTTTTGCTAGATGTTATGTTATTTACACATGAGTTTACTAAAGTATTTTTATCATTAGTAGCAAAAACTCAAAAATTTATATTCAGTTATTTTTAGTGTAATTTGAGTTTTCACAATATTATCAAGACAAGATTTTAGAAGCATATTCATCATTATCAATTTAATTTATTCATTATGAAAACAATTATAATTACATTAGAAATATAATGCAAATATGTTTAGAACTAATATATATATATATATATATATATATATATATATATGTGTGAATACAATTTTTCGTGGCAGTATGAGAATATTTTTTATTCTCACATTGTCTAGGGCGACAACACAGAGGTTTCTCTCTTTGATAACCTAGGAAACACATACATTGAGCTTTGAGGAAAATCTCAGACCTTTCGAGTGTTTTGATAAATTTAATCTCAATCAGACCTCATGTGTTGTTATTAGCCGGTTCGCATCAATTAATGCTTTCGCCACGTTTTCATCAGACAATTTCATCAGACTTCCAATTATGTTATATAGTTTATCCACTTAATTTTGTGCAAATCAAATTAATGATTTTTTTTTGTTCAGGATGTAGCCGCTCGTGGGCTAGATATACCCACAGTTAGCTTAGTGGTGCAATACACACCGCCACTATCTGTCGCTGACTACGCACATAGAGTTGGTAGAACTGCCCGTGGAGGACGTTCTGGACGCGCCATAATTCTTTTATCGCCGCATGAGGCGGATTATGTAAGAATATTGGAAGATCGAAGAATTAGGTAATACCTATTGATTTGGTTTTAATTATATTACTAGATCTATTGGTTTAAACTGTGAAAAGATGATGTTAAATTATGTCAAACAAAATTAAGTGAATCATTTAAATTTGTTCTATTTTTCTTCAAAAATTAATCCTTTTCTCGTTTATCATTACCAACTCAAAAGAAATTACTCAATTTAAAAGAAACAAATCTATAATAGTTCTGGTTTTCTATTTATTAAAGACTATTTAAAAAATATTGTATATTGTGACAAGACGCGGTTTAAGTCCTCATTTTTTGAGGCTGCAATGACTGCCATTCCTAATATTTTAGCATTGCATAGCAAGGGTTTACTTTAATGCCATAACTCAACCTATAAGGGCCACTTGTGATTACCTGTGGAAATTAACATAACTATCTAACCGAATGTACTGATTGCCTTACTTAATATTACCTCTTTAAAAGTATAGATGTGTGGGCATGACTGTATCTACGCACAGTCATGTCTTATGCCTAAACTCGAATGTACTCTAATGTAATGATTAACAGATTACAAGCTATAAATTATAAACGACAGATTAACAGGAGTTACTAATTGACGGAGGTTGTCGGAGGGAATAGCTAACAATATAATGATACTATCTGACCTTTGCTGGATCGGGTTCTTTTTCCATGGCACAACACATACACACACCATTACAAACTGAGTGGGTTCAGGGGCTTGTCTCCGGACTAACTCAGATAGTGTTACGTTTATTAATGGGAGTTTATATCCTTCGACTCGGTCCTTATATTGCAGAAATCATAGTAGAGGCGAGTGGGGAATGCATTATAAATTTCATATCCGAATCTGGTGTATGTTTAAGCAGGACCTCTCAAAGTAAACCGATTTTAAAAACATTAAATTCATAGTTTAAAATTGAATTCTTGAAAACTTGGAGCAATTCTAGTATTGTTTCTGTCTTAGAAATAATATTCACGGTAACGGTTCCAAAATTTAAATAAATAAAATTAGTGAAAAATAACCACAATAACCAAATGATGGCCATAATTTCACTAGAGTTCTAGGTTTCACTTAAGAGCACATAATTTTCAAACAACGTGAGATAATTTTTTCAATTAATTTTTTCAAGACAGTTAAATCAATACTATAACCTTGTTTCGGCTTGATGACAAGGTCTGGGACACCCTATATTTATATATATATATATATATATATGTATATATATATATATATGTATATATATATATATACATATATATATATATATATATATATATATATATATATATATATTGTGAATTGTATTGATACGAGAACGTATTTGTATCATTAGATATTTGTCGATTAATTTTTCATTAATAGATTATCACAGGAAAATTTGGAATCAAGCCTTGAAGCTCTCTTGACACCTCAATACACAAACGCTCAAGAATCTGCAGCGGCCATACAGCAAAAATATGAAGAAATTATTTTGGATGACAAAATATTAAATCAAATGGCTTGCAAGGGTATGATCTCTTTGGAAGACAAATTAAATTAATACATATAAAATGCATCTTATTTAGTATACTTTAGCAATATTCAAGTTCTATACAATTTCATGATTAAGAATATGAAGATATAATATGAAAAATTAACTACATTTTTAACTAATATTCAAATATTCTTAAATTAAAATGTTATTCGAGAATTGTTGAAAGTAATTCCATTTTTTTACTTCACAGCATTTTTCAGCTGGACGCGTTTTTATTCAACGTTTCCAAGCAAGTTGAAACCTATTTTTAACATTCGATCAGCGCACACTGGACATTATGCCAAAAGTCTTGCACTTCGAGAAGCACCTGGAAGTAAAAATATGAGACGTGCAGCTGAATCAAGTGAATCAAAAGAGAAACCTAAAAACCGGCTAACCAGAGAAAGGCAAGAATTTTGTTTATAGTAATAATTTTGATATTCTCTATTTCAATTTTCAATTTTTTACCATATATGTTTTTATGTGCTCTCAGAAGTGAATATCACATAAAAACCACATTGATAAGAAACTTTTTTTTTAGCATTTGCCCTCAGCTTTAACCGGCAAACCAAAAATTAAAAAAAAATTAAAAACATTTTTAATATTTATAGACCCTACATTTGTAAGAGATATACTTTTTCAGTAGATACACATATGTATCTACCGAAATAATGCACAATATGTATTGGTGAGGATCACTATGTTTAATTTGATGTTGAGTGGACTGTAAATTATAAATATTCCATCACCATAAGATATGTGAATAAAACCAATGTTTAGTTTATAATATATATTGAACTTCACTCTACACCTTCTCTTGTCACTTTTGCTATTCTCTCTTATTATTATAAGTTATAGGTATTTATACTAATAAAATTGTATCCCCTACCGCAAAGGGTCCCGGGTTAAATAGAAAAATCTCTGGTCATATCTTGACTAAATATCTTTGTATCTTTGCACTATTTTCTCATTTTTTCTTAGTGAGTCTATTTTATTATCTGTGTTATTCTCTAGCAATAAATACATTTTGGAACTTTCCAAATAACTTTGATTTATACATCTCCACATATTGCATTTTATCAATTTAATCAACTTAAACCTCAATTTATTTGTCGTCCGTGATTAGAAAACATGCTCTACAAATACTTGAAGAGGTGCACATTTTTCTAATCCCTGATTTCTTGATACTATACTCAAGAGCTTATCTTTTTTTTTCAATCTTAGTACTTTCGACTTGGCGATAATGATTCACGATTTTATTTGCCACATTCTGTATTCGACTTAATATAATTCTCCCATAATGTAAGATATTGTTATGATTATTTACGAGTTTTTGGATTGTTCTATTCTACTTTTTTAACTTTTTAACATTATAAGGTATCTAAGGGTCGTAGTGCTAAAGTTATCATTTAGATTTGTAACGCCTTTCAATGAAATGAACCTTCATAAAAAATACTAATATGTAATTCAGTATATCAATTTTGATACCTTGCGATCATTTGTAAAGTGTGGAAAGTTTAAAATTCTAATTTTATATTAGTATAGTAAATATTTACAGGAACACTGAGGAACTGAAAAAAGAAAGAGCGCACTTCTGTGGTGGGACAATAAAATTAAAAACACAAAAACGCGGACTAAGTCAGCAAGCCAGACAGCGAGAGCTTATTACGAGCGAGTATGATAGTGGTTTGGCACCACTTAAAAAGAAGAAATTTTGATATGTTAAGTAATTTTTAGATATCAACTGTATAATTATAAGAAATATCATGTTTATGAAAATGTTCAGAATAGTAGAATAACATATTAAAAACAAACTGCAAATAAAGACTTATCTCTCGGGTCTAATAATATTCTTAACATTTAATCTAGTCATGTTCTTGTTTGAATATTATCTGTTACTAATTATTGGCTAATACATATTTATATATTTATTCAAATGTGATTTCAGGCCATTTTCAAAATATTTATGCTTCACAATTAATATTTATTAATTTTCATCTATTCTTTATCTAAATTTGTTATTGCATTTTTAACTTCCAAAAGGAGAATTATATGTTTTCATAAAAAAATCGATTTGCTAATTTCATGTTTTCGCGACATTTTAAGCCATTCTGAATCTAAATAAATTATCTAAATTATTATGAAATAATTTTCGAAAAAATATGCGTGTGTGTTTGCGAGTGCATGTGAACAGATATTTGACCTTAAATCGACGTTTTCTCAAAAACGGCTGAACCGATTTCAAAATTTTAAAATCCATTCGACGAAACTCGTTGAGAGGATTATCGTACGTCAATTTTTGTAAAATTTCTATGATTTTCTTGAATTTTTTTGAACGATAGATATCATGGTCTAATTTTACCAAAAATTTTCTTTCCAAAATTTTTTCTCAAAAAAAAATTTTATTGTAATTTTTTTTATTCCAAATTTTATTCCAAAAATTTTCTCGCCGATTTTTGTTTCTAAAAAATCTTTATTTCAAAAACTTTTTCCCCCAAAATCTTTTGCCAATTTTTTTCCCCAAAATTTTTTTCTCTTATTTTTTTTCTAAATAATTATGTACCCCAAAATTTTTTTCGGCAAAATATTTTTCCAAAAAATCAAATTTTTTTCTCCAAAATTTTTTTACCCCAATTTTTTTTTGTTCGCAGATGTCGCGTCAATAATTCATTCATATGCATTTTTCAATAGCGCATTCTCTTAAATACAGAATGCATGCACCTTTGCGGGTATTAAAACTTCGGTCACCAATTCTTTTTCCAAAAAACTTTTTTTCCCAATTGTCCCAATTTTGACCAACATTTTTTTCAAACATTTTTTTCCCAAAATTAGTTAGCCAAAATTTTTTTCCTAGATTTTTTCCCAAAAATTTTTTTGACCAAAATTTTTATGACCAAAAATGTTTTTGACCAAAATTTTTTGGACCAAAATTTTTCTGACCAAATTTTTTTGACCAAAATTTTTTTTGACCAAAATTTTTTTGACGAAAAATTTTTTTGACCAAAATTTTTTTTTCGAAAATTTTTTGGACCAAAATTTTTTTGACCAAATTTTTTTTTCCCGAAATTTTTTTTTGACCAAATTTTTTTTTGATAAAAATTTTTTTGACCAAAAATTTTTTCCCAAAAATTTTTTGACCAAAAATTTTTTAGACCAAAATTTTTTTCCCAAAATTTTTTTGACCAAAATTTTTTTTGATGAAAAATTTTTTTTCGCAAAATTTTTTTGACCAAATTTTTTTTGACCAAAAATTTTTTGACCAAATTTTTTTTGATCAAAATTTTTTGACCAAAAATTTTTTTCACCAAAATTTTTTTTCCGAAATTTTTTTGACCAAAATTTTTTTGACCAAAAATTTTTTTGACCAAACATTTTTTTTTCCACAAATTTTTTGACCAAAAATTTTTTTGACCAAAAATTTATTTGACCAAAATTTTTTTTCCGAAAATTTTTTGGACCAAATTTTTTTGACCAAATTTTTTTTGACCAAAATTTTTTTTGACCAGAATTTTTTGGACCAAAAAGTTTTTTGACCAAAATTTTTTTGACCAAAATTTTTTTCCCAAAATTTTTTTGACCAAAATTTTTTTGACCAAAATTTTTATGACCAAAAATGTTTTTGACCAAAATTTTTTGGACCAAAATTTTTCTGACCAAATTTTTTTGACCAAAATTTTTTTTGACCAAAATTTTTTTGACCAAAATTTTTTTGACCAAAAATTTTTTTGACCAAAATTTTTTTCCGAAATTTTTTTTGACCAAATTTTTTTTTGACCAAAATTTTTTTTGATAAAAAATTTTTTTGACCAAAATTTTTTTCTCCGAAATTTTTTTGGACCAAAATTTTTTTGACCAAAATTTTTTTGACCAAAATTTTTTTGACCAAATTTTTTTTTTCCGAAATTTTTTTTTGATATAAATTTTTTTCACCAAAAATTTTTTCCCAAAAATTTTTTGACCAAAAATTTTTTTGACCAAAATTTTTTTTCCCAAAAATTTTTTGACCAAAATTTTTTTTGATGAAAAATTTTTTTCCGCAAAATTTTTTTGACCAAAAATTTTTTGACCAAATTTTTTTTGACCAAAAATTTTTTTGACCAAAATTTTTTCCCAAAATTTTTTTCCCAAAAATTTTTTTGACCAAAATTTTTTGACCAAAATTTTTATGACCAAAAATGTTTTTGACCAAAATTTTTTGGACCAAAATTTTTCTGACCAAATTTTTTTGACCAAAATTTTTTTTGACCAAAATTTTTTTTACCAAAATTTTTTTTCCGAAAATTTTTTGGACCAAAATTTTTTTGACCAAATTTTTTTTTCCGAAATTTTTTTTGACCAAATTTTTTTTGATAAAAATTTTTTTGACCAAAAATTTTTTCCCAAAAATTTTTTGACCAAAAATTTTTTTGACCAAAATTTTTTTTCCCAAAAATTTTTTGACCAAAATTTTTTTTGACCAAAATTTTTTTTGATGAAAAATTTTTTTTCGCAAAATTTTTTTGACCAAAAATTTTTTTGACCAAATTTTTTTTGACCAAAAATTTTTTGACCAAATTTTTTTTGATCAAAATTTTTTGACCAAAAATTTTTTTCACCAAATTTTTTTTTCCGAAATTTTTTTGACCAAAAATTTTTTTGACCAAACATTTTTTTGTCCACAATTTTTTTGACCAAAAATTTTTTTGACCAAAATTTTTTTGACCAAAAATTTATTTGACCAAAATTTTTTTTCCGAAATTTTTTTGGACCAAATTTTTTTGACCAAATTTTTTTTGACCAAAAATTTTTTTGACCAAAATTTTTTGGACCAAAAAGTTTTTTGACCAAAATTTTTTTGACCAAAATTTTTTTTCCGAAAATTTTTTTTGATAAAAATTTTTTTCACCAAAAATTTTTTCCCAAAAATTTTTTGACCAAAAATTTTTTTGACCAAAATTTTTTTTCCCAAAAATTTTTTGACCAAAATTTTTTTTGATGAAAAATTTTTTTCCGCAAAATTTTTTTGACCAAAAATTTTTTTGACCAAATTTTTTTTGACCAAAAATTTTTTTGACCAAAATTTTTTCCCAAAATTTTTTTCCCAAAAATTTTTTTGACCAAAATTTTTTTGACCAAAATTTTTTTGACCAAAATTTTTATGACCAAAAATGTTTTTGACCAAAATTTTTTGGACCAAAATTTTTCTGACCAAATTTTTTTGACCAAAATTTTTTTTGACCAAAATTTTTTTTACCAAAATTTTTTTTCCGAAAATTTTTTGGACCAAAATTTTTTTGACCAAATTTTTTTTTCCGAAATTTTTTTTTGACCAAATTTTTTTTGATAAAAATTTTTTTGACCAAAAATTTTTTCCCAAAAATTTTTTGACCAAAAATTTTTTTGACCAAAATTTTTTTTCCCAAAAATTTTTTGACCAAAATTTTTTTTGACCAAAATTTTTTTTGATGAAAAATTTTTTTTCGCAAAATTTTTTTGACCAAAAATTTTTTTGACCAAATTTTTTTTGACCAAAAATTTTTTGACCAAATTTTTTTTGATCAAAATTTTTTGACCAAAAATTTTTTTCACCAAATTTTTTTTCCGAAATTTTTTTGACCAAAATTTTTTTGACCAAAAATTTTTTTGACCAAACATTTTTTTGTCCACAATTTTTTTGACCAAAAATTTTTTTGACCAAAATTTTTTTGACCAAAAATTTATTTGACCAAAATTTTTTTTCCGAAATTTTTTTGGACCAAATTTTTTTGACCAAATTTTTTTTGACCAAAAATTTTTTTGACCAAAATTTTTTTGACCAAAATTTTTTGGACCAAAAAGTTTTTTGACCAAAATTTTTTTGACCAAAATTTTTTTTCCGAAAATTTTTCTGACCAAAATTTTTTTGACCAAATTTTTTTTGACCAAAAATTTTTTTGACCAAAATTTTTCGGCGATTTCATTAATTTCCGACACAATAAAAATCAAGTTTCGAACTTAGTTTTTTTCTCCCTTGCACAAGGATATCTTCATTGTTATTAAGATAACTTTATTTTTATTAGATTATTTTAATATTAATTTTAATTTCCTCACCACGTTCACGATACCACCTCTTCCATTAATTTTACACTACCTTACCTAATTCTTACCTACGTTAAGAACTGATATTCTTACCTTGGTGAGGTACACCAGGGCTCGAACCTGCTACCCCGTCCTCTCCAGTAACTCGCACCTCCTAACGCGCGACGCCACAACGATCACATTACAAAACCGTTACAAAGTAGATGATATTGTATATTTTAAACGAAAAAAAAACTAACAGGTCATAAGGCCAAAAAAAAGTGGGATTTGTATGGCCTGTGTTGGCGTAATTGGTAGAGTGATGGCTTCGTACCAAAAGGGTACCGAGTTCGAATCATACCTCCAGCCATAAAACGGAATTCAGCAGTACGACTAACTAACTACTAACGTTGTGGTATTTATTTAATGTTGAATAACTTAAAGTTAATATTTGCTACCCCGTCCTCTCCAGTGACTCGCACCTCCTAACGCGCGACGCCACAACGATCACATTACAAAACCGTTACAAAGTAGATGATATTGTATATTTTAAACGAAAAAAAAAAAACTAACAGGTCATATGGCCAAAAAAAAGTATGATTTGTATGGCCCGTGTTGGCGTAATTGGTAGAGTGATGGCTTCGTACCAAAAGGGTACCGAGTTCGAATCATACCTCCAGCCATAAAACGGAATTCAGCAGTACGACTAACTAACTATTAACGTTGTGGTATTTATTTAATGTTGAATAACATGAAGTTAATATTTGGAACAAACTA